TAGATTTTGTTGTTCACGTTGCCCCATAAATTAAAATCAAGGGATGTAAGGAAGGGTTCCAGCATGTCTAAAGGCGATGTTAAAGTCACAGTTTTATCAACAAAGAAGAATGGTCCATACATCTTTGAAGAACTCAGAGCGCAAAATACATGATCGATTACATACGAGGTGCGATCGGAAGGTTTCAAGACTGCGCGTATAAAAACCCGTACACTTATCTCAGGTATTAAATTCATCCATCACCCTCGAAGTAGTTCCCCTGGGAGTGAACACAACGATCCCAGCACAAACTTTTGTGTGGCATTCACGTTTTAAAAATGGCCGAACCTCTGTCGATGATGACGAGCGTTCTGGACGACCATCTTCGAGCACAACGCCCGAAACTGTTACGAAGATCGACGTCGTACCATCAACGACTTGTGCGACATTGTTGGGATAGGCTATGGGACCTGTCAGCTGATTCTAAAGGAAGAACTCCACATGCGACGTATCGCAGCCAAGTTTGTGCCAAGGCTCCTGTCTGAGGACCAGTAGCAGAATCGACTTCTCGTTTGTCAGGAGCTCCAAGATCTTGCAAGAACCGACCCCAACTTCCTTTTTAAGCTCCGTGTGACTTCTTCCTCTTCCCAAAGATGAAAATTCAGCTAAAGGGAAGGAGATTTGAGACGATAGAAGAGCTTCAGGCAGAATCGCAGATGGTGCTTGGCAGGCTGACAAAGAAAGATTTCCAGTGATGCTTCCAGGCTTGGCAGCGGCGCTGGGATCGTTGTGTTCACTCCCAGGGGAACTACTTCGAGGGTGATGGATGAATTTAATACCTGAGATAAGTGTACGGGTTTTTATAGGCGCAGTCTAGAAACTTTCCGATCGCACCTCGTATCTATCGAACCCCATGTTCCTACGTTTTATCTGTTAAGTAATCCAAATGGTCCCTCTACGGCCTCACGAAAACCTTTCCTTCGGTGTGTGCGTTTCGGACTTACGAGATCTCGACTAGCTGTAAGCGTTGACTTTGGACTGTAAGTGAAGTTTTCACGTATCGCATCGATAACTTTCTCTGGCATAAATGGTCTGCTTTGGCCCCTGATTACGGTGAATAACTTACCCAGTGTTTGTGTCTCTGAACTCGTTTTTTCGTATGTAAAACACCAAAACGCAAGCATGTTCCACTGTAACACGCCATTATTAATTTATCTAATCTCCACTCCTCTAGAGAAAGGCTCGTTAACTTTCACCTGCATTATGATGGGCTATTTTACAATATGTAACATGAATAAAACGTTAAAAGACTTTTAAACTGGGCTTTACGTTCACAGTGTTTACAGTAAACATGTCATGAAAGAGCATACATTATTTTGTTTGATGTATTATTTCCATTCTTTGAATGTTTATATTACGAGTATTTGGATATGTGAGGTTAATGTTTGTCCACTTACACCAGGTCAGGAAAATCTTGTCGAAGACTTTCCTGATCTGTGACGTACAAGATAACCCAGATCCTATTTGATAGCTTACGTGGTTAATATAATGGCAGCGCACAGGATTAAATCTACTTAAATTTAAGTATTTACGAATGCCATAAGATACACAGAATATGACAACAATCGATTCGTATCCGGTCGATTTCAAACGTGTTCAGTACGATAATAATGGTCGATTGTGGTGCTATAATTAGTCCTGGTGGTTGGTACTCCTGCTTTGCGACTAAATGGTTGAGATAACGGTCCGGACTTACATGACGGAGGTTTATCCCACATTTGCAGTCACTCCAAGCAAATACCGTGATACTCAAATTAGGTCACGACCGCCTTCTTTCAAATCCTTTCCAATTCATCATTCATTAATCATCGTGTTATTCGATCCCATATAATCCGAATTACCGTCGTAATCTATAAAAATGTATGCTGCAGTAGAGAACATTTTAATCTGTCCATCAAGATTTAAAAGTCTTAACTGATGTGATGAAAGTCATTATTTCTTGGTCATAAAATTTCTTTATTAATGCGATACGTACCGTAGAATCAATTACACAAAAAGTATATTCAGACATTTATTAATATGTGTTAATTAATTTACAGCAACAGTGGCGTTACTACCAAAATATGCAAGGAATTTCTTTGACAACTAACCTCCAAACTTTGTCTCTACAATCTAAATAATTTATTATCAGAATAGGCTGATGTCGTTTCGGAAGAACATACTGCCTCCATCGTCAGGGCTGAAGGTGGATATTTAACGTACGTGGTAAATATTATCTTTCAGAGTGATACGTAGTACGAATGAAACACAATTATGTAACGATGGTTTAGAAGCATGATAGGTTTTATGTTCCCGTCTACTTCAACGGGCCATGATACTTCGTATTACGTACTGTTGCATAATCCATTTTTTGGAAGGAGGTTTCCTTGTTTCTGCACTTACCCTTACTTACGCAGCCCGCAACTCTCCTTCCGTATGATTTGCCGATCCATAACTGCTAATGTAAGTCATCAGGCACTTCATTTCATATAAATTATGAGAGAATTTTGTAGCTCGATTTGAACGTAACCCCAAAGTCAGGATAATAAATGAGAAGAGATCATATTGTAATCGAACTGGCATCCCTTTCTGTTAGACTACTCAATAACACGTACGTTAAATATCTTACTGACAAGGAGTGTTCTTTACAACATGCAAATATTTCCGTCTCCATTCTTCTAATTTTCTGTTTTATGGAGCATTTGACTGTCGCAAGCCAGGAGGCATCTTTCTTCAAATATCGCCTTTCCGTACATATCGATCGAGTTAGTTGGCATTCCAGCGAACTCACAATGTCCCAGGTTCTAATGTTGGCCTTGGGACTGAATAATCCAAGTATGTTATGATTTTCCTCAGCCCCTTTTGCAAATGTTTAATTAAAATCGGCCATGACTGTCTCCAGTTATCTTTCACAGTCATCCTACTGTACTAAGTTGTCAGCATATCAATATAAATGCTAAATCAATTACAGTAAGAATGTTTATATTTCTGGAGGTAATGGACCGTGAATTTTGCATTGAAGTACGGAAGAAACTTGTTACGATTCTATCGAATCGTTTTAGGTTAAACAATTTCGCTTTTTCGTGTATATATAGCTTCAAATGGGAGGCTAAACTATTCCAGTTTTTTTTATATGGCAGGGAAATTACGAACAACCTCGGTCAGGTTAGCCAGAATCTAGAGTCGATTCACCAGAATATTTCAGATAAGAAGAGAAACGAAAAGTCAGTGAATAATTAATACAGCCGTATACCCTGCAACACAAAAACCACGACTACAAATCCCGCCTGAGGCATAAATCTAAGCGTTTTTATGTAGTTTCTTGTGCTCAGAATTTGCAACGTGCGTATTTGACGTCCAAATAACCTTGCCAGACATGTAAAAGGTTCATAATTTAAAATGAATAAATTAAATCAATAATAGAAATAAAGTAACATAACCACAAACAAATTCAACGAATGGTTTACGCCATCGTAAAATATCGTCCGGAGAAAACTAATAACTTTCAGAGAATTAGATACAATGAATCTCAGAAGTGGTTAGTACTCCGGCTTCACATTCTGGAAATTCTGGGTCAAATTTCAGCCCGGAGATAGGCTACCTTCATTCAAGATTACGTGGTTTCTCTCAGTGTCTCCAGGCAAATGTCGAAATAGTTGCCGGCTTCATTCCTTGCATATCCTTTCAAATTCATCATTCATCAAGTCACCATGTAGTTTTGGCTTTGACAACGTCTTTAAACACGCCCCAGTGATGCATCGCCACCTACAAATGCGCTCTCTCAATGAGACATGAAGTAACTCCATGAAGGTCTCGTACGTATACACCCATGATGCTCCTCCAGCCGATGACGTCATTCAACACAAGCGCCTCGCTGCGGAAGATTGAAGTATTGCAACAGCTGACACACTAGTAAGCGCATGAGCCAAATGAACGTAATCGATTGTGCAAACATGCCACCAGAATGACTCCACATTGACATCTTTGATCCCGTATTAAGCAGGAAATTTCCTATTAAGTCAGCACGGAATAAATACGGGGCAGCATGGTTTCCAGTCTTCATGGAATTTAAATGTAATTTTCTTACGGCAAAGACCGTGAGATCTTCATAGCATGCAATGAAGATCTCACGGTCTTTGCCGTAAGAAAATTACATTTAAATTCCATGAAGACTGGAAACCATGCTGCCCCGTATTTATTCCGTGCTGACTTAATAGGAAATTTCCTGCTTAATACGGGATCAAAGATGTCAATGTGGAGTCATTCTGGTGGCATGTTTGCACAATCGATTACGTTCATTTGGCTCATGCGCTTACTAGTGTGTCAGCTGTTGCAATACTTCAATCTTCCGCAGCGAGGCGCTTGTGTTGAATGACGTCATCGGCTGGAGGAGCATCATGGGTGTATACGTACGAGACCTTCATGGAGTTACTTCATGTCTCATTGAGAGAGCGCATTTGTAGGTGGCGATGCATCACTGGGGCGTGTTTAAAGACGTTGTCAAAGCCAAAACTACATGGTGACTTGATGAATGATGAATTTGAAAGGATATGCAAGGAATGAAGCCGGCAACTATTTCGACATTTGCCTGGAGACACTGAGAGAAACCACGTAATCTTGAATGAAGGTAGCCTATCTCCGGGCTGAAATTTGACCCAGAATTTCCAGAATGTGAAGCCGGAGTACTAACCACTTCTGAGATTCATTGTATCTAATTCTCTGAAAGTTATTAGTTTTCTCCGGACGATATTTTACGATGGCGTAAACCATTCGTTGAATTTGTTTGTGGTTATGTTACTTTATTTCTATTATTGATTTAATTTATTCATTTTAAATTATGAACCTTTTACATGTCTGGCAAGGTTATTTGGACGTCAAATACGCACGTTGCAAATTCTGAGCACAAGAAACTACATAAAAACGCTTAGATTTATGCCTCAGGCGGGATTTGTAGTCGTGGTTTTTGTGTTGCAGGGTATACGGCTGTATTAATTATTCACTGACTTTTCGTTTCTGCGAGCCACTGTATTTTTTATCGGCAGTCAGGAAAAACAACACAGAAAGCGCTCGGATTTACGCTCCGAGCGGGATCTAAACTATCGTTCTTTACGCTAGGGCAGTAGAAAAGTATCTCTCAAAGAAGGCAGTGAGTGGTAACCGTGTGGTACGTTGTAACTGTATAAAGGTTGGTTGGTTGGAAGAAACTCACAGTCACTGTGCAAGTCTGCTGCTGTTCAGCGCTGCGTGATCCGCTTTTGTTTAAGGGAATCTTTGTCAAGGCCGTCTGCGTCTTAAACTCGGCCGTAAAAACATGTAACCTACAAAAGGTAAGTATGTGAACATATATATTTCAGAACATACATTTATTTACGTGTATTTACAACTGAAAACTCGGTATTTTTTATTTGCCCCCGTTTAATTTAGATAAATTAATAATAATAGGCTACAGTGTTACTGATGCACGTTATGAATTTACACGATGCAACAATCCAAGAGACATCCATTTTCATGTTTAGTTTGGATCAGTATGAGGGCCAGAAAGTACAGAATTTGATGTCATATTTTAGAAACATTACAAAACTTTGGAAGAAATATTTATGAGTTATGTGTTTCGTCCGAAATTATGTAACTAAAGAAAGACCTTTGAATTGTACATTTCAAGACTTCATAGAAGTAAACTATCACGTATTCGCCTGTGAGTACTGCGGAAAAATCTGGATAATATAACCTATATCTTGGAAATGATTCCATCGATACTTCGCATTCTTTGCCAATGATATATTCTGCTCGACAGGTATCTGCAAACGACAGTTTATTCCCCAGACGACACAGAGACGAGGGATTTTGCTAAACGTTTAAATTATTTCGTATGTATATCCTAATATTTGATTCCATAATATATGACGTATTGATTCGCGACCAAGTTGAGGGAAATTTGAATACATTTAAAATTGAGAAGTAAATATTTTAAATAAATGCAACTGTATGGCCAACGACGTAGTAGTAAATTTAATAGTTTTAGAAACTTTGCAATGTCCCACATTTATTTACACTCTTCACAATTAAGGATGTTACAGTACACGAGTCTAATTGGAAATCTCTTTTCCGTTTGAAGAAGAGAGAGTTAGGACAGCACGAAAGTAGAACAAAGATAAAACTAGTGGGGAAGTGAGAGACGTTTAATTTCTGAGGCGGAGAAAAAGTGTCTTATAGTTAGTAGGTTCCCAGGCAATACCCGCTCGTCCTTGTGGCAAGGAGTGAAGCCGGAGCTCGTCTAAATAATATTTACTACTGGTTAATGCTATTTAAGGAAATGATCGCTATTTACAGTGAGATTCATACAAAATCCACAGATAAAATGTTGTTACAGTAGGTGGTACGTATAGTTACCATTGGGTTTTATGGGGTTAATTACGTTCTTATTTCTACATTATCTGTCTTTCTATAGAGAAACTGGTTTTGATGTCAATAACACTTTAAGTGCAAAGTACAAGTGTAAAAGTACTCATCGATCTCAAACAATTATGACGTCAGAATGAGTTTGCTAACATCAACATGACATAGTGTGTTCCTGTCAGTCATAATTAAGTAATAAGTACTCGTTTAGCAATAAAAATAATGCTTAAACTATCTAATCAGATAAAAATGACGTGACTGGGCTAATGACAGAGTAAAAATCATCGACCGTTATATTAATAAATTAGTCTGTGCGTTCGAAGTCTGTTGGAAGTTTATAATACTTGACAAATTATGAAGGAAATCCACATGCACATATCACAAACAGAGCAAGACGAACTTTGTTAATACTTTTATCACGAGCAGTATATACATTTCCTTGTATTTGCCACTATCCACGTCAGAGTATCCGCGTTCCTACTACAGTAAGAAAGCTCGGTCCCTGACAATATACTGTCCGTACCGTAAACATTTACCAGCGTTAACCCGACTAGCTACGGGCTGGACGACCGGGGTTCGATCCCCGACGGGGGCAGAGGATTTTTCCTCTAGCCTCTGCGTCCAGACCGGCTCTGGGGCCCACCCCGCTTCGTATCCAATGGGTACCGTGGGCCTTTCCCGGGGGTAAAGCCGGGCGGGGCGGGATGCTGACCACTCACCCCCATCTAGTGCCGGGGTCAAGGAAGAGAGGAGCTATACCTCCACTCACCCCAAACGCCTACATGGCGTATAGTGGGACAAACTTGACTTTTTACTTTTACATAAGCCTATATTAGAATGAAACTGGAATTTGATGTTGTTTATTACTGATTTATTTAACTACGCTGTGAATGATTCACGCAATATAGCGTCGAATGATATAACGATAAATGAATAGTTAATCTTCAAGGATGAGGAAGGAATCAGTCGTGGTCTGATTTAAAATAATATACCGTTATTTTCGTAGAGGGATTGGTCAAAACTATAAAAAATAAGTCATTGAAGATAGTCGGTCTCCGGGCCGAGATTAATTAGAGGTTACCTCGGGAATACGAAGCAACAGTACGAACCAGCAGGCTGCGACATTCGGTGAAATTTTATATAAAACGATATGTTGAACACCTCGTAGCTGTCTCATTTCCTTCGTCGGCAATATATTTGGTTCCAATAGTACTGTAGGCAAGAGTTAAGTACCTGTGACATACGCAGTCTGGAAAGTCACGTACTGCGCTACTAGCAGACTAAAAACATCTTACTTGTTCTAATCTGATTTAATCGTAATACTTTAAAACGCTGGAAGTTATAAAATAGTCAGCAGTGATAAAAACAAACAAACGAATCACGATGTTACAAACAGCGGAGCAGCGGAAAGCGAGAGTGACCTGTGAGAAATATGTTTTTTTACTAAAGGCCAATATTTTTCATTCAGGAATAGGGGGATTACGCATGAGCACATCACTTGCTTACCAGGATGCCTATGTGACAGGGACTGTGTTGACTTTCGCCTGTGTTTCTTCAACTCACAAGCTAGTGACGTAGGTGAAACGCACAGTTTGGTCCCACGTATTGCTTGTAGACGTAATTACCGTTCATTATTTCTCGTACACAAACTAGAATGGCTTGCCAGTGTTTGAGTGACCTTGAGTTACTTAGCATGTGTCTCAAGGCGTGCTATTCTATTCTACACCCTCTCAGTATTAGCTTCCATATACTCAGACTTAGAGACAACTTCTGATGTGCAAAATATCTCTGTCCGATCTACATCTATCATTTGTGGCCTCGGTCTTCTTGTAAATTACATCAGTGACTAAGAACAGTTGGCTGGCCTGTATCGCGTGTACTTGTAATATATTATTCAAGTGACGGGAATTTATTTGGCATGCTGTAGGAGTTTTGTGACCCCCGGGAGACATGTGAAATGGAAAAGAAAGGTGTTTTATAAAAGAATAATAATAATAATAAAAGTTTCAGCGTAAGTGAATGCGTTGTACGTTGTAAATATTTTTCATTTTACTTGTCAAATGTATGTACGAACAGACAGACAACAGGGATAGGATAACCTAACCTAACTCATTTTTAGAATAAAGTGTCAATTTTCGTATTTTTGTGGTACCTGGGTTTTGATTTATACCATTTTAGAATAATGATTACGAAAATTTTATATTTATTGCAGGCGTAGTAATATAAATTTAATTCGAAAAATTACCTGATATTCAGTGTTTCTATTATGCAATAGACCTCAATTCATATGCAATGAATACAGTCCGAAATATCTGCATTAAAGGACCAGAATCTATATGTAGTTGTGTTACATAAATATGAATTATGTTTATGTTAATTAATAAATTGTACTCGTGTCGTAAAAGTTACTTTAAAAGTACTGTGAAATTCTTCTTAAGTGTGGCATGGACTACGAATTGGATTCTAGAAAAAACTATGAGCCTAAAAGATATACTACTCATGGTGTTGTATTACCATCGAGAATAACATAACCTATTTTCATATAAGTAAAGTTATGAAAATATGGCGTACAAAAGAGTAATATGGGTTGAAGATACGTCAATAAAACACCCACATTCCGATTTACCATACAAACGCTTTGTTTCCTGGAACTTATATTCATGTTTTCTGGTATATCGCTTACTGGCTTTTATTTTAATTTTATTTCGGAAGGAAGGCAGAATAGATCAGCGGTATTGCTTGCCCACTGATAGCTTAGGGAGTTCAGGGCAACCATTTAGGTCTTTGTTGACGTTCTAGGAAAATAACACGCAGGTCTATAAGCAGAAATCAAGAATAATAGACAGTGAATTGATTTGCGTGAGAGGAATACGAAAGCAGTTATTGGTTTCCGTCGATTCGTGCGGAGAATTACTATGACGTCATTTCCTATAAATTGGCAAAGCCAGTTGGGAGAAATTATATTTAATTAATGAATAGTAGCTTAGATGTAAATTAGGTTAATAAAGTTTTTATATTATGATCTCGGGTTCGATTCCCGGCGGTGCCCGAATTTATAACTTGTGTTGGGCAAGGCCGTGGTCCAGGTATCACGGAGTTTTCCTCCGGGGGCTTCCCCGGTTTCTCCGTGGCATCCCAACAATTACTCCATTCACACACAGAAGAAGGCAATGGCAAACCACTTTTGGATCATCTGCCAAGAACGTATATGAACAGGTCCCAGTCCGAGAAAAGGATGGAAGGATCCTGTTCATATGGACCTGTCGTCAGACAGAACACTAAATAATAATAAGATGAGGGGGTCTAGCGGTTAGAACGCTGGCCTTGTAATCCTGGGGTCTCGGGTTCGAATTTATAACTTGTGTTGGGCAAGGCCGTGGTCTAGGCAACACGGAGTTTTCCTCCGGGGGCTTCCCCGGTTTCTCCGTGGCATCCCAACAATTACTCCATTCACACACAGAAGAAGGCAATGGCAAACCACTTCTGGATCATCTGCTAAGAACGTACATGAACAGGTCCCAGTCCGAGAAAAGGATTGAAGGATCCTGTTCATATGGACCTGTCGTCAGACAGAACACTAAATAAATAAATAAAAACAATGATGATAATGAATGTGTTATTGCAAGATGAATGAGGTGAATATGTTGATAATTCTAAATCTGACAGATTTTGAAAATATTATTTTAGTTGTGAGATTTTGTACACGCCAATAGATATAATAAATCGCGATTAGTCAGATGTAATTGTACACACTGGCTGTCCAAAATTTAGTTTATCGTGCGAAAAGTGGATAATCAGCAATCTGCTCCAAGACGGAAAAGTCCGTTGTTAAAAGAGTAGATAACGTCTTTTGCCTTACACTTAAAATAATCGATTCATTCAAACTAAGACGAAAGCCACCATTGGAGATTCGGCACCAAACCGGAAAGAA